AAATCGCCACCTTCTGGGACTCTTTTGAGGCTTGGGAAGCTTCAGAAGAGTCCCTGAAGATGGCGATTTCGCCCCCTCTGGCCCCCGAGGGGGCCGGGTGAGCCTCCAAAGGGTCCTAGGGTATGTTCCATAAGACGGACCTCTCCATAAGGCTCACCAAATTTTTAGGAGAAGAAAATAGATTATTACTTTCCTCTTTTCTTCTCCTAAAAATTGGTGCGTCTTATGGAGAGGTGCGTCTTATGGAGCGAAAAATACAGTAATTGTGTTGAAAGACAGAGAAGCGTCATTCGGTAAAATGTTGAAAACCCGTCCAATTGAAACCCATAGGGTTCAGCATCTTTCTTAAGGAGTCAGTCCAGACTGATGCACCAGTATATTAAATCATATGGGGATGGGGTGGACTTGACCCCTTAAGGGCATTTTTTCCCTCCACTTAATATTTTAACTGTTCTGAGATCACCTGAAACCTCCCTCATCTTTGTGGGCAATACTGTACCAGTTTGTCTACCTAAGAATTGGTACTCAGCAGTGAACTTGAGAAACAGAGAGAATGATCATATTTAGAGGTGTAAATCCTCAATGACTTGGCTGGAGAGCTCAGTGAGTTGGCCGTTTGATTCTTTGCACCTCCCAAAGGGACAGAAGACATGCGGTTTGGGTCCAGCTGCATGATCCCAGACCACCATCAGAATTAGGGACTGGGAACCCATTCCTGAGAACTTTATACCTAGATAGCCCTGAAAAGGGTTTCCGCAAGTCACAACTTGACAGCACATCATTATTCTCAAATCCTCATTTGTCTCATCCTTACAAGTGCAGATAAGGAATGGCTGTGTTCTTCCCAACAATGAGAGGAGAGCAACAAATCAGAATGCACTCTTGGCATCATTTTTGCAGCCACATTGAGAATGTTTGCATGAAATGCCAGCTTTTCTTTAAACAGATTGTGCAATTTACAGAAAACCATAGCTGATGCTTTGTTTCTTGGACATTTCCAAATCTGAAATATTAGACGGGTTGTGTGTCTTTTTCAGCAACCAACCAATAGTTCTGTGCATGCTATGGGTGTGCATGAAGTGCTGATTGAAACTGGTCATGGGTGGTTTCTTGATCGACACTATAGACAAGGCAAATAAAATACTGTATTTTTAAACATTTAATCT